TTCCCAGCACATTTCCAGAGGCTGTGATTCACATGTGAGGAGACGGTCCATCTTTTCTCCCAGGTTATGACTATAAATTAAATCAGTTCTTACTAACGTGAATACAGTCACATCTTCTGAAACGCTAATTTATTTGATACTGTTCTTTGACACTGTAGGTTCAATTTAATGAAAAGTTCTTTCAGATTACAGAATCTTTTTAAACAATGAGATGTAGACAAATCTGTATTGTTCTCTCTGCTCCACTACATGAGATGCAAAAAGGGTACTCAACAATGTCACAACCAGATAGATCATCTGCTGGAGCTGTGCGAACAGTCCACCTTCTGTCTCGTAGAAACCTTTTTTAAGAAAATTTAAAGAAGTAGCTTCAGTAACAGAGAAGTTCTGCTCTCGAAGTAGAAATCTTTTTTTTTTTAACCAGAAATTTTATCTCAGAGGACGATGGCTCTGTCCATTCTCATAGTTAATGTTTGCTTTCACCACTCACCTATTTTCGTTGTACTGTGGTGACTTGTGTGCTTCTGTGGTGCTGGAAGCTGTGCCAGTGACATGTCAAATACAAGCTGGGTCACCCACAATTTCAGTGGCGTCTTCAGAGAGAGTAGGAAGAAAGGCCTGGTGATCTACTTGTGGAAACCAGTTAATGAAGGCCTGTGGATCACAACAATTATCATCTGACTCGCTTGTCACATCATGTTGGAGATGAACTGCTGGAGGAGGACATCGTGTTTGATGACTTAGAGGGTCAGGGAGCATGAGGAAGACCCTTGAGAGAACGGATTGGTGTAATACCCACAACGATGGAGTTTTAACATGCTGCCAGTTTTGAGGATGACACAGAACAGGACAGTTCATTCTGCTGTACATAATAACCATGAGTCAGATGGCAGCTCCTGATCTGTGTTTTCTGTAAACAGATGCAAATCTCCATAAAACTCAAAGGGAGCATTAGAATATTGGCCTTCCATACCCACAAGAAAGGTTGAGGGATGGATGCACTAGAATGTTATCAGAACCCAAAGGTTTTAAAACATGAAGAAGGATATGGGTATTTATAATGAAATATAAATATATAAATATATGTTGAGCTATGGAGCTCTGGTACCCTAGTGGGTAAGGAATTGTACCGTCAATCCGAAGGTAAGTGGTTTGAAACCACTAGCTGTTGTTCTATGGGAGAAAGATGGGCAATCGCCTCCTGTGTGATTTAAAGTATTTGAAAACATTCTGGAAGGGCAGCTGTGAGTTGTTTCTGAGTTGCTCATGAGTGAGTGATTGTCTAGCCATCCATCAGATTTCAGTGATCCAGGTGACTTCAGAATGAAATCGTTTGCCTGTACCAGGAAAGATCTAAAATGCTTTAAAATACAATGGAACTGTGAGAGCCAAAACTCAATAGGACTGCCTGGTCTCACTGGGTCTTATAAGTATTCTTCATTTTGGCAGGATGCAGTTTTACTACTCATTTATCACTTGTCCTACTGAAAAGACATTGCTGTTTTCCTTCTCTGACAGGTTTCTGACGTAAACAGGTTACAGCTTTCACTTGTTTTACCATATATGTTTTCTACAAATCTATAATTGAGAAATTGTTATGTGCCATTGAGTTGACTATGACTTATAGTGACTCTATGCACAATAGGTAAGTAGAAAATAGTAACCAAGAAAAACTTACATGTGAAGACAAGAGGATCATGGGGAGGAAAAAGATGAACAACTGTCTGCGAGTCATAAGTCCAAATGGTCAGGACTTCAATTTGAGCTCTGAACCAAAGTCAAGAGGGAATCTTGGACAGTTACACAGGTTTTGTTAACCGTAAGGTGAAACACATGCCATTTCTTCAAGGAAACAAAGCTATGCCCCTGGTGGATATTTATATCCTCCCCTGACACCAGAGTCTGGCCACTCACAGCACTCATTGACTTAAAATGCCCTTTCTAATTTTCACAGAGCAGGACATTCAGATGGCCAACAGACACATGAAGAAATGCTCTAAATCACTGGCAATATAACAGATGCAAATTAAAACCACAATGAGATACCATCTTACGCAGTAGCAAAGTTTAACAGGACAGCAGGCAATAAATGTTGGAAAGGATACGGAGTGATAGGAACTCTTATACACCGTTGGTGGGAAAGTAAAATGGTACAACTATTCAGGAAGGCAGTTTGGCTTTTCCTCAAAAAGCTGGATATAGAAATTCCATATGACTCAGCTATTCCATTGTTTGGGATATACCCTGAGAAAATAAGAACTGAGACACAAATGGAAATTTGTATACCAGTGTTCATAGCAGTGTTATCCACCACGGCAAGAACATAGAAACAGCCCAAATTCCCAACCACAACTGAATGAATTGAAAAACTGTGATGCATTCATATGACAGAATACTATACATGACTCAGGAGCAATGATTTTGAAAACTACTACATAACTTGGGAGAGACTGAAAAGCATTAAGGATATTGAACTAACTCAGTCTCATAAGAACAAATACTGTGTAAAACCAGTATTGCAGAAATAGATAATTAGTAAAACACGTATGAGGATTCAAGGTGGTGGGGAGAGTGGGAGTAGAGGGTGAGGATGAGTAGGGGGGAAATCACAGAATTGCACAATTTCATGGGTGGAGGGAGGGGTGGGTAAAGGAAATGGGAAGGGTCTGTTAGGTATCTGGAAAGACGGAGTAAATTGTGGGGATATTTTAATAATGATTAATTTTTTATATAAATAATATAATTGCATTAAGGAAACACTGATGATTAATTTTATAAAATATAATAGGAATAATTGTATTAAACATAATATGAAGGACAGTGTGAAACAAAATGTACATGAACTTTGTAAGCAAACTAATATAATTTGTTTTTTTAAAAAAATACCCTTCTAGGAGCTCTGGTGGCCTAGTGGCAAGAAGCTGCGCTACGATCATGAAGGTGCACAGTTCAAATCCATCAGATACTCCACTGGAGAAGGAGGGGCAATCTAACTCTTTCTGTGCCAGTAGAATCTCACTTGATGGCACACAACAACAAAATAAAATTAAATTTAAAAAATACCCTTCTAAAAGTCACTATTTGTAAGTTTGCTGTACCGTGGGCTTGCATGTTGCTGTGATTCTGGAAGCTATATCACCAGTATTTTAAATACCAGCACCCAAATAAAATACTAGTAGATTTCAGTAAAACTTCCAACTAAGAATAGAAAGAAATACTTGCTGATCTAATTTTGAAAATTGGTCAATGAAAAACCTATGGATTACAGATTATTGGCCATGACTCAACTTGCTAACTTGAGAGGCATCATCAGAAGAGATCTATTGCTGGAGAAGGAAGGCATCATGTGTGGGGAGAGTGGAAGGCCAGCGAAGGTGAGGGAGACCCTGAACTGACACAACGGCCGCACTGTAGACTCGGCACAGTGTGTACTGATAATCATAAAGATGAACAGCCCACGATATGTTGAGTCACCATGAATGGAGTGGACTCAACAAATAACAATACTCTGAAAAGAGATTTTT